TCGATTGCTTTGTTCCGAAACAGGGATTAAAATGATTACAATGTTGCTTTTTATTCTTGGTTCGGGTCGCTTTCATACGGCAATGTTTCTTAACGGAACAAATTTGTTAATACAAGTCACACGCGAGTAAACTGTTCTCTCATTGGTCAATGTTTCACGGTTTATTTTCCAGGATTTCACTTCACTGTCACAGCTGTCATCTGTCAGGATGGAAGAATAACAGCTTCGCAGGCTTATTGTTTTTTTTGCCATTATAGTAATTTATCACTTTGAGAAGAGTCCAGGAATTCATTGAGAAAACATTTTTAAAATGCACATACTAGGAAGAAGAGCAATAAGACGGCATTATAAAATTAAAACGTGTGCCCACAGACATTCACATGGTTCATTTTGAAGTATTAGCAAAACAACAAAGCTAATGCTTTTCAAGGAACTTACGTAATTTACCCATTATACATTGTGATATAGCCTGGTTCGTTGGTCCGTTAGATTGGATTGCTTTCTCACCACAACCGAACCGCTCCAGAGTTCGTTTTCAATCGAGCCGAGACCACCTCGTTCAGGCGATCTCAGACTGATTGTTTTGGCGGGGATCCGAGCGCCATTGCCGTGTTCACATATCCCCAAACGAACCAAGCTAAGGGGGGAAACGCCTCAGGTTCCGAAACAACGGGCCAGGTGTGAAAGCACCCTTAGACCTAAATTTTATAGCTATTGAAAAGTTGACAGACTCGTAGAGGAGGGAATTTAGAACGTAGACTTTTGCTAAATTAATGTAGGTGGATTTTTGATCTTAAAATATATATGATATACAGTGGGTACAGAAAGTATTCAGACCCCCTTAAATTTTTCACTCTTTGTTATATTGCAGCCATTTGCTAAAATCATTTAAGTTATTTTTTTTCCTCATTAATGTACACACAGCACCCCATATTGACAGAAAAACACAGAATTGTTGACATTTTTGCAGATTTATTAAAAAAGAAAAACTGGACTTGAAGAGTACTTGGGTACAAAAACTGATGTTAAGAACTATTGTTGGAGTCATGAGATCATTATTGGTGTATATGTATATTTTGTTGATATAGATGTATATGGATCATTTGGGATGACTTATACATGTATTTGTTGTATTTTGTTATAGATTTGAGATATACAGGTGCATCTCAAATTAGAATGTCGTGGAAAAGTTTTTTTTTCAGTAATTCAACTCAAATTGTGAAACTCGTGTATTAAATAAATTCAATGCACACAGACTGAAG